AAAGTATCGGAGTTAAAATTTTAGGATAGGTAATTCCACCTTTTATTATCACAAGACAGGAAATTTAAGCTCGTTGTGCAGTAAGTAAAGGTCTAACTTTGTGATTCAGCTAAGTTATCATGATTTACATTATCTTAAATACTCTGTTAGGTCGGGGTAAATTTGAGTAAATTTTTTATGTACAGTAAACAAAAATCTAGTCTTGTAAGGGGGCGTTTGGTTCAGGTTATATAACATAACCAAGGGAATGTGACATTCCAAAACTCATATTCCTATGTTTGGTTCACATTATCTCAGGGAATCTAACATTCCCCAGGAATGTCACATTCCCTCCACATAGAATTTTAAAGGGAATGTGATTCCCTTCAATTTCTAAGGTTATGTAAGATAACCTTGGTTATGTTAGTTTATCTCTCTCTCACACACACACACACACATAAAATTATTTTTGTAATTATATATTTTTTTATTTTTATTATGTTAGGTTAGCATATAAAATAATTTTGTTTCTCAAGTTCAATATTTTAGTTAATATTTTAAAATCATGTAATTATATATGATACCATTATCTTATTTATTTATTTTAATTTTTAAATTTATTAAAATATATGAAAATATGTTAAGGATATTATAGTGTGTGAATAAAGATAACCCTAAACCAAACATGATTATATTACATACCCAATTTTAACCAAACACAGGAATCTAACATTCCCAATAATCTAACATTCCCAGCAATCTAACATTTCCTAAAGTAATATGACATTCCGTGAACCAAACGACCCCTAAGAGTTAATTCAACCTTTTGGAAGAAAAACAGAAAATCTAAGGTCCCAATGTGGGGTTGTGGCACTAGTAGTCCAAGCTAGTCAACGTCTTTATAATCACCACCCTGCTGCCTCCCTGCTCATTTTGCCTAGGTGTCTCTGCGTTCAACCCTTTCCCACTTGAAACCTCGCACGCCACGCCACCCCACCCCATCCCGTGCTCCCTTTTCTTGTCTCCTCACTTCGAGGCTCCGCCATGGCACTCTACACGCCCGCACTCTCTCTGGCTTTCTTGATTTTTCTTCAAATGCACCTTCCTCCAACAATGGCTGATTCAGGTATCTTCTATCTATCCATATCTCTGCTCATTTCACCACTTTCACCTCTCTCTCTGTGGGATTTACTCCAAAAGCGCTTAACTTTGGACTTTCTTTCTCATCTGTTTGGGTAAATTAATGCACAAATGTTGTTTCGCCATTTGTCTGGTGTCGAGAATGCTAATATTTCCCTTAAATTTTGAATCTTTATCTTGTGTGTGTCTTACAAATTTCAAGTTTTGGGAATAAATGTGCAGTTTGCCCCTTAGATTTGAGTGGCTCCAACTTTACACTAGCTGCTTCCATTTGCTCCACCAAAGAAGACAGAGGGAAGTGTTGCCGCTTCATTAATTCCATGGTGGCTATCTCTGTTGCTCGATACGCTAATGAAACAAGCAACCTCGGAGTTAATCTGGAAGTCTCAGAGATTTGTCTCCGCAGCATTGCACAAACTCTACAGCTGTACGGGGTTACCAAAAACGCCACTGTTTTCTGCGGTTTTGGGACCAAAATTCCTGTCAACTATGAATGCCAAGGTCGGACCACTGTCACCCAAATGCTGCAGTCTCCCAAATTCTCCGAGGTTGCTGGGAATTGCAAATCCCCTTTGTCGGCGGGAGGGGCTTGCAAGAAGTGCTTAAATGCTGGCATTTCTTATCTCCGGAATCTTCTGGGTGTGACTAATAATACAACGTTAAGCACTTGCAGAGATGCAACATTTGTTGCACTTGCAAGCCCGGTTGACAACGCCACTGCTGTTGACATAGCCGGCTGTTTCTTTGGGGTTCAAGGGCTTGTTCTTCCCCCAGGTATAATTTCATAGTTGGATGGCACATTTATGCTCACATGGGTGATGCTCTGATACCAAATTGAAGCATTTGTTCTATCTCGACTAAATGCTTAAGCTGATAGTTGGATTGCACATTTATGTTTATATATTATATATATGCTCAATAGGTATGCTCAGGTGTGAAGCACGAACAAACCAGAATCTAAAAAGTTGCATTGCATCTGTTTACAAATGAATTCATCTTTTAATGATTTGTTAATTCGATCAGCTTTAACATCATCAAGGTAATGACAGAATGTTATTTGATTTTGTTCTACTCCTTTTGCAAGTTTCAGGGCCATCTCCGCCACTACATTCACCTCAGGTGTCTCCGAGTCCACATGTTGCTTCCAGTCCAACTCAACTTTCCTTGACAACATCCATAAAAGGGGAGCACCATCGATACCACCTGACATTGGTTCCAGTTATCGGCATAGCAGTTACAGTATTGGCTGTGTTGATGCTTCTTATACTTATTGTTCTTATCCGACGGAAAAGCAAGCAACTGGAAGAATCTGAGGTTGATAAATTGTCTTCAAAAGCCTTCCCGCCTAGAAGATTTCAGGAAGGTACAATTGCAGGCTCGTCATGACATGACCATCTTAATATTCTTTTTTTAATGTTAAGATATTTTAAGAGTTTTACTAGATGTACTCTCAAATGTTACTCTCTGATGTGGCGGGCTATGATAAACTACTTTTTCCATGCGAGTCCCAATACAAGTGTCTAAATCAAGATTTTGTGTGTGGGAGTAAAAATTGGGAGTACACGTAGCATTTTCCATATTTTAACTTGTTTGTTGATGGACTACATACGTGAAATGCATGCAGGGTCCACTTGTATGTTCAGAAAATTCGGCTACAAGGAGACGAAAAAGGCAACAAACAACTTTAGCACAATCATCGGACAGGGTGGATTTGGCACTGTGTTCAAAGCTGAATTCGGTGATGGTTCTGCGGCTGCAGTGAAGAGGATGGACAAAGTCTCTAAGCAGGCAGAAGACGAGTTCTGCAGAGAAATAGAGCTACTTGCTCGGTTACACCATCGTCATCTTGTTGCTCTAAGAGGCTTTTGTGTCGAAAAACATGAAAGGTATTCTTTCACATATATAAATACGTATGCCCCTCGATTCGAGTGAGAGTATATTCATATTCTTGTTTAATTTTAACTTGGCATTCCACCGATACTGACAAACATCATCATGCAGATTTCTCATGTACGAGTATATGGCAAATGGAAGCTTAAAGGATCACCTCCATTGTATTCTTCTTATCTTTGTATTTATTTTATTTTATTTCCCCCTTTTTTTGGGCTTATTTTACATAAAGTTGTTTCTCAGATGGGAAAAAAACTGAGAATATTACAAGTGGTTTTCTGTGGGAAATCTACCTACTGAATGAATAGTAATATGCAAATCAATCGTATGGCAGGTAGAAAAAGGCATGGGGAAAAGGGGAAATAAAATCGAGTTCTTTTGCATTCTATATCTTTCATGTCACTGTGATTACACAAAAGAATGTGAATTGTTTGATTTTATTTCTTTTCTCACTGCCTAACGGTCCTTTTATTTTTGAAGCTCCCGGCAGGGCTCCTCTCAATTGGTGTACCAGAATCCAAATTGCAATTGATGTGGCAAATGCTTTGGTATTGATTGGTTAATTATTCCAAATAACTTTCAGATTTCGTTATGGCTCAGTTATCGTTTTGACGACTAACTTTCACCTCCATGCAGGAATATCTCCATTTCTATTGTGACCCTCCACTGTGCCATAGGGACATCAAGTCGAGCAATATTTTGCTGGATGAGAACTTTGTTGCCAAGGTAATTCTAACCAAACTTTTAATCAACAAACTGTATTTTTTTCTAAGAGTACACTAGATACACTATCTTTGCCTTGAATCGTCTTCCAGGTTGCAGATTTTGGCCTTGCCCATGCTTCGAAAGATGGCTCAATTTGTTTTGAACCTGTCAGCACAGATATCAGGGGAACCCCAGGTTGGAAAGAGCTATTTTGCAATGAAATAAGTTTTTTTTTTTTTTTTTTTTTTTCTTTCTTTATAGGCTAAAGATACGATGTTGTTGTAGGTTACATGGACCCTGAGTATGTTATCACACAGGAGCTTACTGAGAAAAGTGATATATATAGTTATGGAGTTGTATTGCTAGAGCTAGTTACTGCAAGACGAGCGATACAAGACAACAAGAATTTGGTAGAGTGGGCCCAAATATACATAACGTCTGATTCGAGGATAACTGAGCTTGTGGATCCCGACATTGGAGACTCTTTCGACTTTGATCAACTTCAGACCCTAGTGGCAATCATAAGATGGTGCACGCAAAGAGAAGGGAGTGCGAGGCCTTCCATCAAGCAGGTCCTCAGGCTTCTATATGAGTGTGCAGACCCAATGCACAATGGGTTTGTCGAAGAGTATGATGAAGTTGAAGGTAGGGGAAGGACGAGCAGAACTAGAGGGCATAGTGGCGATGCAAGATGTCTAGCTTCCTCGTCAAGTACTTCCAGGTCGTATTGTAGTAGGAGCTTCCTAATCGAAAGCGGCTCTCCAGAGTCTCCTTCCAATATACCGTCCTTCTGAGATCAACCATCAAGTGTTACGCTCTTCTAAAGTGACATCTTGTGGTCGACCAAGTTGGCCAATATATCGTACAGGAAGCAAAGGATTATAGATCAATGCAGTTTTTGCTGAAGGGAGTGTAGTGTTCTTGTTATAGAGCAGCCACTTATTCAAACAAATGTGTCGTTATTTGGCTTGCACGGGCTTAGCTCGCTCACTGGTTCAGTAGGCAGTATGGAGTAAAGGCTACAAGCACCAATGTATTCCTTGTACTATAGAAATCTTATTCTTTTGTTATGATGGTTCTTTTGATGATTGCCGGAAAGTTTAAAGGGAGGAATTAGTGGTATTTTCCCCTTTATGTTTTCTTCTTCTATTGCCACAATGGGTCATCAGTGTTTCTTGAAATCATTCAGGTTTGATTGTGAGTTTATGCATCACAGTGCAGTTCACAAGCTAGGAAGATGACACATTTGCCATACAGATGTGTAGTTTTCAAAAAATTTTAACAACTTTGTTCTAAACTGGAATCATATATCTATAACTGCTATCAGTGATGATACAGAATACATCAGTGCCAACATGGACAAGGGAATATTCTCTTCCCAGAATACACAAATTTTGTGAGTTGCAGTGAAGCACTAATCTCAAGGGGGCACCCCAAATCTCTGTTTAAGCTAAAGACTCTAAACACAAAACCTAAAATAACTGCACATCTGTTGGTTGTTTAAAAGTCTGGCAACAGCATTTGCAATCAATACGACGAAAGGGACATCTACAGTACCATTTCCATTCTTCAATGAGGTTTGGCAATGGAAAACACCAAAACAGCGTCCAAAAGAACGCCTGTACTCGTAGGGGACACTCCAATAGTAAGGTATCCTTTTCAAGAGATGGACGAACCTCTTATCTAGAGATAGCGCTTCATTTGATTCAACAAACTGCACAGAAGAATCCCTTAAGCAGGAGTTAGTCAGGAATGAATGATAAAACAAAAGTAGACCAAGTATCATTAGGCTGCCGAAAGAGCTATGGCACAAATTTCAACTGCTTCTAAAGGCCATCTTGTGTAGTAATCTGGTGTATACCAACTTATATGCTACAATGCTAAAATATGCTGCTTACTCTTTTCCCATGAATATGGGCAGTAAAGGCAAATGAAGATGAAAAACAATACATATATATGTTATAAAGCACCATATTTCTGTAAATTACACCCCCCAGCATGGCTAAAAAGATGTCTGCAAAGAACAACTCAAAGTTGTACTTATGAATATTATATATAGAAAGTTTGCCAAGATGGGCAGATCAGTTTCAGCAATTTCATCATTAGTATTAACTGGCAATTCAAGACCAGAAACACCAACCACACAAGACTTTTTCCTTTCCTTCAAACTTTATGAAACTTTAGTACAGTAGAAAGCTATGAAAAGGAAAAGGCCAAAACAGGCCAAGTGCAGGGTAGAACAAGCATACCTCAGGTACAGACTCTAAAGGAAGTAGAGACACTATCAACAGAAATTGTCAACTCTTTCTAGCCACCAACAGCAGTCAAAAACTTTCTTTTGCTAGCAGGTTCCTCACGTACAACCACCACATCTTTTACCTTATCTAGCAGTTCTTCCAGTTCATTCACACCCAAGCTCTTGTAATCCAGTGGTCTCTTGTACCGCTGCTGATATATTGCCTCAAAACAGCCAAGGAAAATTCGACATGAATAGCTCACTAAAATCTCTTGGAGCTCATACTTGAACTTCTCAAGGCTCTTGTTAGTAATTTCTGGTAGTGTCACCATTTCTAAATTAGATTTCTCCGGTCTTCCCCTATGTTCTTCAACAATTATTTGTTCATCATCTGAGAACTCATCTGAGGATCCAGCTCCTATTGTGGCCTTAGTGTTATCTTCCTGAACACCTTTTCCTTTTTTATCTTTTTTCGCTTGATTCTGTGGAGGAGCACTTGGTCCAGCTCTTGTGTTACGGAGATAGACAAGCTTCTTTTGACCTTTCCCCTCCACAGCCAATGCATCACCAATCTTCTTCAGAAGGTTTACGAGTTTGAATGCTCCGTACTCTGACACATAAAGAGGCCTGCCATAAAGTTTCTGGTATTCCGCAGGAAGGCGTGTAAGAGGAAGACAACCTCCACAGAGCTCAAGCAATTTCACCAGCTGTCCCTTCAAACCATTGAGATCCCCAGGCTGAATCCATGTGAAGTCATTCTGGTCATAGTTGGAAACAGGTCCAGCTGAAACGTCATTTAAAGCAGATGGAAGACTTTGAGATCTCATACCTGCAGAGTAATATGGCACAGAAGTTGAAGTACTATTGTATTCAGCTAGAGTCTGTGAAATCATCGAGTAGTCCCTTGTACTGCAATAGCTCTGTGAGACTCCTCTGTAGACTATCGCCTCTTCTTCATTTTGAAAATCTGAGTTATCATTAATAGGACATGCCATAAGAGCACCAGCAATGTCTGTTGTTCCTCCACGAGGAGGATACAACACCTTTTTGGGAGGCAGAAACCCATCACCACGAGCCACACTTGGCCAGTCCCAAACAAACCTTCCTGCATTACAGAGAGCTGATGAAACACCCACCCCAGAAGGAATGACAAGAATCACAGTATATCCACGTTGACCAAGAATGTGAAGCGCAGGAGAAAAATCCACGTCCCCAGATATAAGCATAATTGAAGAGGGTGGAAGATTGTCAAGAGCAAAAAGAAACATGTCAACCAAGATGGCCTTATCAGCAGCATCTTTCCTTCCATTGGGAACATCTATAAGTTTAACCCCCGTTCTCTGACAACCCTCCCTTAATCGCCTCGGGAAGGCGTTAAAATCTCCATAAGCAGAAAACATTGTGACAGCTCCATTAATTACAGGATGGACATGCAAAGCCATTCTTATATTTCCAGCCACATCTTCTGGGCGCACATCACTTGGAACTGGACAATTCTCTATATCCCAAAGAATGGCCACAGGTCCATTCAAGCAATCAGAACTCTGCTGAGGATGAAGAAAGGTGGATCTCATGTTGGCAGTTAAGATGGCTTTACCACTTTTATCTGATGATTCTGAAGACAGGATAAGAGGCAACGCATTTGAATGTGCCATCAACTATCTCATAAAAAATTCACTGCAATCCTGGCTTCACAGATAGTAAAAAAGGCACCAAAAAGACAATAGTAAACGTTTTGAACAACTAAAAGATCAACATAGGTCTAGAACATTTTAACAATTGATCCACCAATGCCATACTAGAAAACAGTATTCATATAACAAGGAAATCATTGATGAGCTTCTCATGATAATAAACCGTTATTGACCTATGATATTCCCAAATTTCCTTTCCAAATATTAGTCATGTTTCAAGGGAATGAACAACAGGGGAGAACCATAATTGTTGTTTTTATTTAATAAATGCCCTCTTAACTAGTCTCCACTAACTATAAAAGGAATTTAAATGTTTTGAAAGTATTTATGGTTCTTTTTTTCTATTTCAAGAGTTTTGTACCAGAAGATACCTCTCTTGAATCACAGTAGGTTGTTATTTATGGGAATCAGTGAAGGATACAGCTATTGCAACTTAGACGAGCACTAAATACTCAGTTGTAATTATCCAAGAAATTCTACTCGGTTTCACACACACCTGATATGCCTACCTTGCATAGAATTTTTTTTGCAGTTCCCTCAGCTTCTCTGCGAAATTTCTCTCTTTTTCCACTCAATTCCCCCACAATTTCGATTAGCTAAGCGGTTCCAACTCTAGCTATTACACAGCTCTACCTACCGGCAAAAGCTTTCTTTGATTTATATATAAAAAAAAAATTAACGAACACAAGTCAAGGTTTAAACTTGAAACCCAATGAATGTCACATCAAATTCATAGCCACAGCACACAATTACAATTTACAAACACCAAATTGATGAAATTCGTGACATGACTAGTGATTCAATCGGCAACAACTAAAGAAAAAGACTTTCGCCTACTGGAAAAAAAGGGGGGAAATCCAATTATCTATACTCAGATATTGAAGGATCTAAGGCACAATCAGAAACGAGTTCCGATACAGTGAGTGGTGTCAATAAACAAATCGCAAAATCAAGATTTTATTAAATGAAAAAAAAAAAAAAAAAAAAAAAAAAAAAAAACGACGAACCAGAAAGAAGCTTACGCGAATCTGCCGCGGAGCCGATGATTTAAGCAGAAATATAATAAAGAAAAAAAGGGTTTTGCAGCGTTGCTAAGGATGAAGAATTGTAGGTTAACCGGAGAGGATTTCGGACCAAACCGGGCCGGCAAAGGATAGAGAATAGAGAAGAATTCGGAATCCTAGACCGCCTTCCTTCGGTGCGCTGTAATAATAGTACCAAAACTTTTGTGCTCTATTTCCCGTAAATTTCGTAACTGTGGTTTTAAACTCTTTTAATCTTTTTCACGCAATTAAGTTTCAATTCTTTGTGCGTTTTAATTTTGAATTTTAAGTTTCAATTCTTTTTGCGTGTTTAAATCAATAGTTATAGTTATGTCATCATGGACTGCATATACATTTATGTATTTTTTTGAGTCAACTTGAAAAAATTAAAAATTAAATATATAAATTAATAATTACAACTAATTAACCAGGTTCAATTCGGGCATCTACCAATGAAGAAGAAGAGTGGTGTTACATTGATACGAGATCCCGACTCCTTCCAAGTATTCTGGTTGTTCCGAAGATGGGTGGTGTTTGTAAATATCTCTAAATATAAAATTTAATGACGACTAAAAAGTAAAAATATAAAAAGCCTCAATTAGTGACATTTTGTTTATTTCATCATCAATTAATCTTTTAAATGACAAGTATAATAGTATACACAATGGTCAATAAGTATTCTTTTATTGATGCATTTTAGTTTTCACCGCCAATTAAATTTATTCATGACAAACATAATTGTATGGGAAACACACATTTGCTAACCAAATATTTTACTTCGTCACAAACTATTGTCGACGTTTTTAGTAATATTTCGTTTCAAAAAATATGCATGTATTCCATGATATTATCAAGACCATGCAAAAACGTCAGTAAACGTAACATTTAGCGACGATCCGAGTTACATTTTTATTTCATCAGTAAAGATATTTGGTTACTTTTTTTTTTTTGAAGTTTTCAAAAATATTGTTAAATGTTAACATTCTTGTAATGTTCTAGCTGTCGTCAGTTAATCGTCACTACTACTATTAATAATTGGACATTTAATCTAGTAATATGATTCTCGCTTTGAGTGCGAGAGGCATAGATTTTATTCTCAGAATGCCCCATTTCCAGTTTGTAATTGTTGTTCCTGTTGACACGTACGCAAGGAAGCAATGCCATGCTTTTGGATGGGATCCAGAAATAAACGAGAACCCATCCAAAACTAACATTTACACAAAAAATCAACGAGTGGGCATTTGGTCTAGTGGTATGATTCTCGCTTAGGGTGCGAGAGGTCCCGAGTTCAATTCTCGGAATGCCCCTTTTCCATTCAATAAACTAATTATTCAGTTTAACATATCTAAATTTGAAAATGAATAAATTCAAAACCTTTGATAAATTGGGCATTTGGTCTAGTGGTATGATTCTTGCTTAGGGTGCAAGAGGTCCCGAGTTCAATTCTCGGAATGCCCCTTTATTCATTTAAATTTAATAAACTAATTAATAATTATTCATCTAATAAAATTTGCTAAACTGGGCATTTGGTACAAAATTGTTTGTCTGGAAAAAACACCAACTACTACATTTATATCTACAATTAGAGATTAGAAAAACAACAATACATCTATCCAATTCTCTATCTATATACCTCTACCACCACCTATCTACTCTATCTTCACTATTACGGTCTATCTTTACACACACAACTAATCGTACCAAGTATTATTTTATCCGTTATTCTTATCTTCCGAATTTTATTACCTATCACTAGTATTATTTATAGGTTAAAAAAAAATAGAATTTCAAATAACTCTGTCCTTTAAAAAATAATATGAGAATTGAGAAATAGATGCTAATAAAAACATTTTTTGTTTGTCTGTCATTTTAAAAAGAAAAGAAAAGAAAAGTACACTAAACAGTAAACAAGCCCTAATGTTTAAACTCAAATAGAAAGCTAATTTATTATTATTATTAATATTGACAGGTCAGCCAGAAGATTTCTTTCGTCTATGATCATTAATCCTCTCGATAACATGTTTATTTGAGAAGAGCATAACTCCAATATTCAATCAACATTCACCAAGCTTATTTGAATACACAGGAGAAACAAAAATCAAAATCTACAGAATATTTATCCACTCAAATTTCTGTACAAATAGTCTCTCATTATAACTTGGTTGCCCTGAGACACGGATAAGATGCAGTTTGACAGCCCAGAACACATTGCAGTGGGAAGAAAGGAAGGAAAGAGCATAATTTATGATGAGCCAGCCATTCATAATGTTTCCATCTAAGAGGCTAAAACCCTCTCGATGGCATTGACGTAGAACTCCTTGGGCATGGTACCCTATGACAGAACCGCGTTTCTCCCCATTCTTGAACAGCATCACCACTGGCACAGCCTTGATATCATAGTCCTCAGCAATTTGCACGTCTGAATCCGCATTGAGTACAAAGCATTTTAATCTTCCTGAATAATCAGTTGCAATTTCATCCATCACCCTATGGACCATCCGGCAGGGGCCGCACCAACTTGCATAAAATTCAACAAGAACAGGGACATCGCTGTTCAAAATCATTTTGTCCCATGACTTGCCAGTCACGACTGCAGCTGTACGTGCATCATAATGTAAAGCAGTCAATATAGTTTAGCCTTCCAATTTTCACCATAAAAAAGTCATGTCAGAAATGTTTTATACATTAAGGTGCAAAGACCAATTCGTTAAAATCTCAGGTTTGGAAGTTATTGATGATGGTTCAACATCAAGTTTTCAGCAAATCAAAAATCAAGTTGCAGGAACTCCAGTAGGCAAAAGAACAATAACTAGTTGGTTCAGTACAACCTTTAATTAAGGCCTCTTTCAGTGAAAGAAAGCACATAGTTTCACAAACCAGTATGGTGTGGAAAGGTGACAAAATGATCACAAGTAAACAAAATAACAAAATAGATAGACTCAGTGTGGCATAATTAAGAGTTTGGAGGACAAGAACACACAATCAAATGAGAATTCCAAAACTAGTTTAGGTGCGAAGAATGGAACTAACAATAAAATGACCAAACAAAAAGAAGATCAACAGTGCTTGAGACCCTGATAGCACTCACAATTCACATAAAAATAGGATTAAGTTTAAGTTCAAACCAATTGTTTCGAAATTAAGGATCCCTTGCCAAAATTTTATGATCATCCATATAATTAAGAGTATCTATCAGATCACATCATTTTTCCGTAAGATAAAAATTAAAATCATGAACCAATAAGCATTAGATCATAGTAGAAGCATTCTCAACTAACACAAAACCTAGAACGCATTAGAAACTCACAATCAGATTTGATAAATTTAAAAAACACTCATACGTGAGAGAGGGATTAGAATTTCGACCTTTGGCGTCACGATGGCAGACCACGCGTAAATGGAAGGGGGACTTAGATTGTCGAGGCCTAACGTTCCGGTTGAGCAGAAAGGAGCTGCCGATGCTTGCTCCGTTCAACTGCGGTGGAGAATTGGACGGTAACGAACAGAGCGATCGTCGGCGGAGAGACGGAGGGAGCTGTATAAAGGGAGGAGTGATGAAGTATAGAGAAGTAGCCATTTACGCCCTCAAAATCTCAAAAAAAAAAATGCAGAGATCATCCGTATATATCTTTCGCCGCAAATATCTTTCAAATGAAAATCGACGTTTTCTTTGAGCCGCAGAACAGAAGAGACAGATTGATTAATAATTAAGTCGCCGATTTTTTAGGGAGAGAGAAAACGTGATTATTTCGGATTCTGGTGGCGATGGTGATTGACAGATACATCTCTCATTTTCTACAGGATAAAATAAGAGTCAGTATTTATATTGTATGCGAATATCTCGGGTAGAAAAGTCAGAAGCAATCAGGCGGGGAAAAATTAAAATATTTCACGCCCGGTGGGACTCGAACCCACAATCGCTTGATTAGAAGTCAAGCGCCTTATCCATTAGGCCACGGGCGCTGTTATTTAGTTATGAGAAATTTAATTTAAAAATGAGAGTTTTTGCCGTACGCAGATCTTGTATTCTTTCTTAAGAGCCCAGTCACGCTATTTTTTTTAATACTATTAACTCTATTACAAGGTAATATCTGTTCTATACTTTTTCAAACTATTGCAGCCTAAAAAATCAATACCCCGCACTTCTTTTAATTTGAGAGTTTTTACGATTACATTTAGTATACCTATTTAGACAAATACTGTGACAATCCAAAATTTTAATTTTATAAATCCGATTTTAAGAAATTTCAAAATAGCCATTTTTACACCAAATTTTTTTTTCCGAAAAGAACGGTGTTTGAATAAATTATTTCGAGTGACTTTTAAATAAAATCCAACACCGAGAGTTTTAATGTCAAAATCCTAACTTTTCGGGTACTTTGCGTACCAAGTTTTAAACTGAGAAAACTATCTGAGTGAAATCGGGAGATGACCGAGAAGCCTAAGTCAAGTGTTTGACTTGAAAACATTTTTGAGAAAATTATCTTTTAACCCCAAACTATTTTAAATAGCATTTCTAGCCTATGGTCCATGAAGCATGGTAGACTACAAACCATCCAAAACTTGTCTGATTTCTTCTTCATGCCAAGTCCTATTTACTATTTTGCCATCAACCAATCATTGGCATTTATCCTAGGGTTTTGGACCCTATATAAGCATCCATAATGCCTTGTGTTTTTCTAATTTCCTCCTTACCTTCTCCAAACTCTCTGTAGAAGAAAGACAACAAAGGCAGTAAGTATTCCACCTTCCTCAGCCATCTATTTCATTCATCTTTCCCTTAAGGTTTCATCTTCCTTTGTTTAAATCTCTAAAGTTCTATCTCTAGGTTTGGGTTGTATGGTTGTATGAAGAGTCTAGAAAGTGTCATCTGAGGAAGGAAAGGGAACCACACAAGAGAAAGAAGAAGAAACAACAAAGGTATAACCCCATGGATTCCCAATCTCTTTTTGACTCTGTGAAGTCACTGATATATGGTTAGAAATGAGTAGAACTGTTAGAATATTGTGTGTTTGAGCTATTAAACGACTTGTTGATGTTGTACAATGTGTTGGTGATGTTTTGGAAGTGGAAATGTGTCTGAAAATGCATTACAGGTGAAGAAAAAGTCTCTGGTGCACAACACAGTGTGCACCAGATAGAAGTCACGGGCCTAGCCAACGGCCCACGAGGGGAGCCGCTGGCTAGAGCCGTGACGGGACGGCCTTAGGGCATGGCCCTAGGCTGCTGCCGAGGCGGTCCTAGGCAGCGGGGCTCCTCTAGCCCCGCCGCAAACCCCGTTGGTTTTGTTATGTGCAGTGGCCGAGCCCTTGTGGCTCAGCTACGTGTCGTTTCGGACTGGGTGTCACGGGCCTTTGTGGCTCGGTACCTTGGGGCCGTCATGATGCACATTTGGACTTTGATTTCGTTGAATTTGGATTATAAATGAGCATTTTATGATTGAATTTGTGAAGCAAATGTGTTACAGTAATGTTTCAGTGTTTGAAAATGAGGAGTATTAGACTTGGCTTTGCCTATGTGAGTTGCTTGATACTATTTGATTGTTAAATTGAGAAGCATGATCATTAATTGAATAAGTCTTGTTAGAAAAGCATGCATGGATACGCGTAATGAACAAGTTAAGTTCCTCTAGACCATTTCTATTTTCCGAAAGAAAACGACACCACAGATTTAAATCAGACTGTTGGGGCATAGGATCCGATGCGTCGCGAAGGTGTAGCATACATTTCTTAACGGGTCCAGCACGGAGCAAGAGAATATCATTTATCGTGCTAATCTGAGCCATACCTTTCTCACCATCATCTTCGTACCTTGAGGAGAAGCATTCGAAAAACTTTCGATCAAACACAAGCCACGCATGCTGCAACCAAACACCCTTCCATTGAGGTGAGGACACAGCAATTCTGGCTGCGTCTTGAAAAGTCTTGAAAAGGCAAGCACCGAAAAGTCTCGAAAAGGCAAAATCCATTCCTTCACTTCTGTTGGCAGCTCACTTATAATCTCACAAGATTTTGGGAACAAAAGACATTTTGATGAATTTGGAAAGAAAACGAGAGAAGTATCATAAACCCTTCCTACCTTTTTCTACTGTGAGTTTGGAAGAATACCGAAAAACTTGGTTGAGTTGTTATAATGGAACGTGGATCGATTATGTATTTTTAACATTAAAATATAGAATTTTTAGAATATAAATTGTGTTTCTAAGTGCAATATATTATATATAATAATTATAGAAAGGAATTTGTAAATATAATTCAAGATCTTCCTGTAGATACAGAGTAAAACAATTTTAAGCAAATTTGAGATTCTTCCACAACCCGTGGCGGAGTTAGAATTTTTCTTCAGAATACAAAATACATTATAAACTACGGGATAATAGTCCTCTATGCTTTCTCATATTTTGAAATTGTTGTAGAACTGCTTCAAGACCTTCTCGTAAATACAGAGTAAAACAATTTTAAGCAAATTTGAGATTCTTCCACAACCAATAGCGAAGTCAAAAATTTTCTTCAGAATACAAAATACATTATAAATTACAATACAAGATTTATGATAAACTACGAAATAATAGTCTTCTACGTTCTCTCATATTTTGAAAGCGTTGTAGAACTACTTCATTTGAAACTTGATCAAAAATATCTTTTTTAACATGGGTATTCTACCTCCTCCATTAAATTCCTACTTGGAAGTGTATGTCACAAAATTTCGTGAGCCTTCCCGTAGTATCTGTTTATGTATGGAGACTGCAACAAAAGATTCACAACAAAATTCAACTTGTCAGAATGAAGCATGTTTGTAAGTTTTCATGAATTTGCCAGGGTATTACTTCACATTTTAAAAAGAGGATTATAAATTGCAGATTGATAGCACAGAGACAATCAATCATTCAAGGTGAAAACAGCAAACCAAACAACTAGTACATGTACGCTACAAATTATATGATTAGAAGCACTACATAAAGAAGATTTTCATAGTTAAAAAGGTGTCAGGAGGAAGGTTGAGGGAATTAAGGTTCTGCTCGGGTTATCCATTTTATTTTCTATGGAAAAAAGGTTATCAAAGCTCAGAACTTATTATCAGGTGTTTACAGTTCCAATCTATGATTTACACCCGAGCAACTTTGTTTTAACGACCCCAATTTATGCTGCCATAAATGCACCTAGACTAATTACACCTTGATAAACCTCAAAATATGCTAGTTTCTAGGAGCTTTTTATAGGAGTTTCGCATTCGTTTTCATATAGAAGTCGTGTTTTTAGAGCAAAATATCCTAAAAGTACAACTTAGCACAGAAATACCTTCTCGATTATAATTTATCTATTTTCAGGTATTTATGGACAAAAAACGTGATGAAAAGACGAAAATAAGCAAAGCCTAGACAAATGCGCGAACAAAGACCGAACACGCCGCGACTACGCACAAGAAGAGGGACGAAATGGGAATTAATCTCCATTCACGCCCCTCCTCACGGCTTGACAACGCCGTGAACGGGAAGCCAAGCGGAGCTAAAGGCTTACACCTTATTCACGCCGGCCTCACGGCGTGAGGCCGTGTGTGAATACGAGTGTGAATAAAAAGGCAAATTCAACATTGGAGGAGTTCAATTCATTTTTTGTAGGAAGTTCTTTTAGATTTAGAGAGAGATTTTCTAGGGTTAGAGTAGGATTCTAGAGAGAAACTAGGTCTACAATAGCAAACATCTATTTTCACTAGATTTGGCTAGAAAAATTGGAAATTCAAGGCATTTGGCTAGTGGATCTTCATCAACAATTTGTATTTTGTGGTTCTAAACAATTTGGGGTAAAATCTATTTTGTGCTTTATTGTTATCTCTTTTTGCCCTTTGTTAGTTGAGATCTTAATTATGCTTGGCTAAATCTAGTGGGTAGGATTGTGGTGTAGATTTGTATTGTAATGATGATCTAACTTGGGAATATTGTGGCTTTTGATTGAATGTTAACTATGTGGATGTCTTGTTGTTGAGGATGATCTTTGTGACATTCTTGGGGTGAGCCCAACTCCATGGATGGGATTGGAAACCTATATCTAGGCAAGAGACTGCTAGATCCGGGTAGCCTTGATCCTTTTCATTTCCCCGTCTTCGATCCAAGAGGGCAAGACCCAAAAAGAAGTGAGTGCAAAGTGTTTGCTTAAATGCCCCATAGAGAATGAGAATTCCTACGGGTGGCGTGTAGACCGAATCGGCTATCGCATTCGCAATTCACTTCTCTTGACTAATAGCACACGCAAATCTCCCATTTCAGGATTGACCAATCGCACAATGCAATCGAAACCCAATCCTCTAAGCAGTGTTGCAAAAATCGCGCCTAGGCACTAGGCAGTCGGCCACCTAGGCGGCCGCCTAGGCGCTCTAGGCGCCGATTAATCGCACTAAGCGCCCGCCTAGGCGCCCTAGGCGGTCCCCAGGCGCCTAGGGGGCGCCTAGCGATTTTTGCAACCTTGCCTCTAAGTAATCCCTACTCCCGCTTAGTTTTAATCTAGTCTTATTACTTTCTTTGCTATGATCTTCCCCGCGCACACTCGCCCATACACCACTTACACTCCTTGCACCTAGTTTTCTCTTGAAATGCACTGTGACATATGATTGTTTTGCACTATACTTACTCCGCATTGCCATCCTTGAGTACGACACTCGGGGTGGTTCTCACTCCCCGTTTTAACTCTTTCTACCTCTTTCCATACACGACCCATGCACATCTAATCTTTTGACGACGCTTGCTAATAGAGAACCATAAACAAAAAGGAAAAAAATA